ACACACACACACACACCTGGAAAAGTAAGAAGTAAAGATTCTTGCAGTTTAAATAAGCATTTATTTCATTAGTCCTTCCTTCCTTCCTTTCTTGCTGTTTCTTAACTTCAGACTTACCAGATCACTAACAGATGAAAGTGAGCATCATGGATAGATCAGACAGATAAACCAGTAGCCTCTGGCTTCATCTGCCTGTGATTAGTAATTAATTAAGTCTAATGTTAACTAGAAGTCCAACCAGGCACTCTCCCCATACACACAAGGGGGGGGGGCTTTAAAAATGTAAACTTGTTCATTTGAATGTATATATTTCTGGAAGGCATCTGTGTATGTGTTTGCGCAAAACTGGGCAGGTATAAATGTCATGGTAGTGGGCAGTCCCAAATGCTATGTGCAATAAGATTTTAGTGCAAATGGACAAAGTAATCCTGGAAAAGAGCAGTCCTGTTTGAATAGCATTTTTAGAAATATGCTTTTGTAGCTGGAGAAGAACCAGGTGCAATAAGGCCCTAATACTACCTGGTAATCAGAGCTTGGGGAAATTACTTTTTTGGACTACAAGTTCCAGAATTCACCAGCCAATAAGCCTAATGGCCATGTTGGCAGTGGATTCTGGGAATTCAAGTCCAAAATGTATTTTCCCCCTAGCTCTGCATATCATCTGCTTTTGACCCCTCTTTAAACCCAATGGCTTTGCCATTGGAAATAACAAGGAGTCTCAGCTTTTGGTCCATTGCCCTTATCTTATACTGTGTTTATGGGCTTGCTGGAGCCATCTGGATGAGGAATAAAGGCAGAGCTTTTTATTCTCATCTGGCAGTGCTCTTTTATTGTTAATGCATCTTTCCAGCACTTTTTAGCAGGGCTGCAACCTGATTAAATATATTTTAATCATATGATTTTTAGAAAAAAAATATTTAAAAAAATTGCATATCAATGAAAACAGAGTTTCTGAAGCAGCAAGCATACTTCCTTTGGGTTTTTAAAAATGATATCCATATGTGTCACAACAGGCATCTTGTTAGACAAAAGCTGTTGTTTTAATTGATTGAACTAGCACAGCAATGAGAATCATGTGGCCCTCCTGGCTGGACTACAAGTCCCAGCTGCCCTAAGCAAGATAGCCAGTAGTGAAGCATGCTAGGCATTGCACTTCAACATCTGGAGTGGTACATGATTCCCACCTCTGATATAGCAGGCAAGACTGTTAAGTATGATGATGATGATGATGATGATAATAATAATTTATTTTTACCCCGCCTTTAGCCGAGGCTGTCAAGTATTACAGCCTGACTTTTTAGATATAGAGATTGGTGACTCGTGTGACTAGCAGGATTTTTTTTTAAAAAAAATTGTATGGGCAGAAAGTCAGTTATATTTTAGCACAAAAAGACCCTTGCTATATAAGCAGCCTTAATCAATATTGAGTTGACATCTCACAGCATGTTGTTGTTGTGTGCCTCCCAGTCATTTCTGACTTAACGGAGACCCTAAGGTTTTCATGGGGTTTTCTTGGCAGGATTTGTTCAGAGGAGATTTGTCATTGCCTTCCCCTGAGGCTGAGAGCATGTGACTTGCTTAAGGTCACCCAGTGGGTTTCATGGCTGAGCAGGGAATCGAACCCTGGTCTCCAGAGTGGCAATCCAGTACACAAACCGCAACGCCACACTGGCTCTCATGATCTTACAACATACAGTTCACTATTCTTTGCAAATAAAACAGCTAGTATCTAGTTTCTAGCGTGCCTGTGACTTTGCAGAGTTCTTTGAGCTGCTAACCCCAGAGAAGCTGTGGTGTGTCAAGGAGCGTGGGAAGTTCTTGAACATCTTCCTGAGCATAATCTTGGGGAAATGCCAGACTCACAGTCTGTATTAAGACCCTTTCAGTGCTGATAATTACTGAGCAGTAGTGTTCTTTCACGAACATTTGTGAACAAGCGCGCTTTATTTTTAATAATAATTTCTGCCTTTTCTGATACGAACTTTTCTTTATGGCAAAAAACTTTCCTGGATTATTCCCTTAACTGAAGCCCTGTGGTATGTTTGTGTGCATGCGTGTGCGTTACTTTGTTTACTGGAATTTGTTCTGCCTCTCTCTAGAAGCTGCAGATTCAGGATAGCTACAAAGGGTTTCTTTCTGAAGAGGCCAGAGAGTTCACATATTTTGAGGGTTGCTGGGAACATGAGAGCCCACACCTTCTCTTGTGAATCTGTAAATAACTTAGCAGTATTGAGATTTCTTTGGAAAGCATTTGTTGTTGGTAATAGTTGCTCTTATTCCACCCATGAGTTGCATACTTTAGGTTCCTGGGCCTCTCTGAATGATAGAAGATTGTCATAACTAGTACTGTACATTTGAAATGTTTCTTTTGAATGAGGGGGAAAAGTATTCTCTGTTATCACTTGGCCTCGAAACCCCTGCCTGGCACAGCAGCACCTCTGTTAGATTCTTACAAGCCAAATAGGTATTTCAGTTTTATACTCCACATTCTTTAAGTGTAACATATTTTTAAAAATAATTTTTAAGTGGACATCTTACAGAAGAAGCTCAGTTCATTCTGCACTCTGCACCATATGTTCACAGCACATCCCTTTTCATATAACTCTGACCATGTCAAGATAGGATCAGAGGAACAACAGCATTATGTTAAGAAGAGAGCAAATGAATGTTATGGGAGAATAGAATTGACGCAGTACTAAGTCATCATTTGTGGTTGCCACTAATTTCCCCCCCTTTTTTTTTTTTTAGTCCTATGGCGCATACATTTTGGGAGAAAGTCAAGATATATGTGCAATCCAAGGAATAAAGGGCCTTTACAGACTGCCAGAAATAATGCAACTTGAGGCCACTTTAACTGTCCAGGCTCAATGCTAGAGAATAATGGGAATTGTATTTTTTCTGGGACGTTGAGTCTTCTCTGTCAGAGAGCTTTGGTGCCACAATAAACTACAGTTCTCATGATTCCTTAGCACTGAACCAAGACAGTTAGTGGCCTCAAGCTGCATTATTTCTGGCAGTCTTTAAAGAGAGCTGAGAGTGGGAATGAAGGGGTTCCTTCTTACCTGCCTTTTTTCTCTGATTTTGCAGATAGAACAAATGATGCCTTGCTTTAGGGGGGGGATGCAGATGGGCGGCCCTGGGCTACCGCGGGAAATGGAGGATCGAGGCCGAGGATGCCGGATGCCGGATGCGTCACCCCAATCCTCCCTTTTGCCACCTCGGAAAGGAGTGCCAGAATGACGCTCCTTTCAGAGGTGGCAAATCGTCTGCCCCAAGAGCCGCCACGCGGCTCTTCTGCGCCTCTTCCGGTGCAGTGCATTAAGATGCCATGATGACGTCTTCGGCGTGGTGTTGGGGCGCCTGGCGTGTGGCTTCCCCTCCCCTTCTCTGCCTCCAAGACGGCGCAAAGCACCATCTGTAGAGACCCTTAGTCTCTTGCTAAAACAAAACAAACTAATCCTCACCCAAAACAACAACAACAATCCCCCCAGCCCACTAGAAAAAGGAGAGAAGCCATTACAGGTTGAGTCTCCCTTATCCAAAATGCTTGGGACCAGGTGTGTTTTGGATTTCAGATTTATTTAATTTTTCAAATTTTATTTTGGAATACCTTTATTTGTATATACATACATAATGAGATATCTTGGAGACGGGATCCAAATTTAAACATGAAATTAATTTATGTTTCATATATATCTTATATACATAGCCTAAAGGTAGTTTTATATATAATATTGTATTTATAATACTTTTTTATGCATGAAAAAATATTTATGTACATTGAACCATTAGAAAGCAAAGGCGTCACTTTCTCAGCCACCTGTGTGGACAATTTTGGATTTCACAATGTGAATTTCAACAATAGGAGGAAAAAATATAAGGGAAGAAAATGGCAATCTTAAGACGCATGAATCTGAATAGATGGAGAAATGTTGGCTGGTGTTCTGCTTGGGACTTGTGTCTTCATAAACAGCCTCATTTTGGATTTTGGAATTCGAAATAAGGGAGTATCAACCTGTACGTATTTGTGGAGATTATGCAGTCTGAAATGAATACATAATCTTTCCCCAATCCCTCTTTCCTGAATTTGGTCAACATTCTAGACCAGGGGTCCCCAAACTATGGCCTGTGGGCCGAACCTAGCCCATCGAGGTCTTTGAACTGCCCCACAGCCAGTTCTGCCACCGCCGCATGACGCGGGGTGCCATTTTGTGTTTCACGACAACTCCAGGCACCATTTTGGAACACAAAACGGTGCTGGAGTAGTGCGCATGCACGCGTGACATCAGGCGCCATTTTGTGTTCCATGCTGGACACATGTGCACGTCTCTGGGTGCCATTTTGGAACACAAAATGGCGTCTGAGTAGTGCGCATGCGCGTGCCTCCAGCCCGCCGAAGATCTGGGGGCTGGCAAACTGGCCCCTGGCTCAAAAAGTGTGGGGATCCCTGTTCTAGACCCTTATTCAGACATCAGTGGGTTTTGGGGCTACTTCTGCAAATGTGGGGATTCCTCAAAGTCTGTTTATAAAATAAATAAATAAATAAATAATAACCTGCCTCTCCTCGAAGGATCAAGGCAGATAACAATCATAAAATATCACAATGACATTAATTAATCATAATTCCCTGACCCCCAATAAAAATAGAAAACATCATCATATACAACCAATTTACTAAAATCAATCTAAAATGAATCCTCGATGCATCCCTGCTACATAAGCATCTGCACTTGGGAAATGAGTTGACTGCTAGACTGTTGGATGATGCCAGAATATGCCACTGAATCTCTCAACACAATTGCTTGCATGTGTAAACCACCAGAGCATTACCCACTTCTTACTTGGCAAATGCTTTGCTACATGTTTGCTGCTTGGGCTCCGAACACAATTCTGCTGGAACTGGGAAGAAGCAAAATGTGCCAGGAAGCTTAGTTGGGAATAGATCCAAGCTGATGACCTTTCATGTGAGTAGCTTGTAGGCTAATTCACTAGTCTTTCAGTTCAACAGAAGCCAGTTGGCCCTGATTTTCCCCCCTCCTGTACTTGGTGAATTTGCTGATTTAAAAAAAGTAATGAAGGGCTTGGGGAGGCTGCAGTCTTGAAATTTGCTGCTAGGCCAGTAATAAATTCCATTTATATGGGTGGTCTGTGCTTTCTTTTGAAGGGTATGGAGTTGGATTTGTTAGGAGAATGTTCTGCTGTGCAGGTGTCTCTTTCTGCAGATTCCAGATTCTTGGGGTGAGATGTAAACAGTGGAAATCTGCTTAGATTTAGTCACTAATTAACTTGGTGGAAGTCTCGGTTGCAGAAATTTGCGATGGTCAGCAGCTCAGATGGCTTAGAATGGCTTGGGAGGGGGAATCAGAGAATTTTGTCAGGAGCAGTTAGCTAGTTAGTTAGGAGTGAAGATTTTGGCTTTTTTATAAAAATAAAAAAAGACTGTAATAGTGTGACATGATGAGAACAAAATCTGAGGTGAGTATCTCTATTGTGTGTTCTGCTTTCAACTTTCCCTGATGCTTCCAATAAGTTGAGTTAGAGCAGGACTAGGTAAATATGGAGAGTTGGATGGCCATTTTCAGGACCTTATGACCCCTTGTAGGCCACATATACATTATTTTCCAAACTCAGAAATGGCCTTCTAGTCATGGTTCTATTAAATACTTTTCTGGTTCCTTTGTTCATATGTTTTAATGAATATATGGTTTAATACTTTTTTAGGGGTGGGTGGGCTTTGGAGATTTTTAGATTGTATTTTAGGATGAATTTTTTGTATGGAATTTTAATTTTAATTTTAATTGTTGTAAGCTGCCCGATTGGTTGACGGAGGGGCGGGGTACAAATAAATTTTATTATTATTATTATTATTATTATTATTATTATTATTATTATTATTATTATTATATACTTGGAAAACAGTGGTGGTTTAGTGTAAAGATGTGAGGATCGTTTTGTGTTTCCAGATTTTTGAGAGAGAGAATAACCATTTTATTATTTTTTAATGGTGAACTACCCCAGTTTGTATAGTTCATACAGTATAATTGTATTGCTTTTATACAATCTTAGGCAAGGAATACTCAAAGATGGTTTGCCAGTTCCTTTCTCTGAAATATAGCTGATAGTCCCTGGTATTTGTTGGCAATCTCCCATCCAAGTACTAACCAGGGCTGACCCTGCTTAGCTTCCAAGATCAGACATGAATTGGTGCCTTTGGAATATTTGGGCAATAGCTGCCCACTCCATAATAGAGACCCTAATCTAATGAGACATCATGAGTTATGAGACCCCATTCCTGAAGCTTTCTCTACTTGGATTGGAACCTGCCCATTACAAAATCTCAAAAGATATGAATCTTCAATCACACAATATTGAAAGCTGTTTCTGAAGTGCTGCAGAATGAGAAGCTTAGATTCACTATTATCTTCCTCTTGCACTTTCAAATCATTTGCAATGTGGGAAGCTGGCATTCTTAAGCTCCCCACCTCCCCTGCTTATATATAATCTTTCAAGAAAATTTCCAAAATATTGTAGGGCAATATTGAATTAAGGGAACTGCCAACATTTCACATGTTAAAGAACATCTCCCCCATTTTTTGGCCATAAAATGCTTTCTATGTAAGATGCAAGCTTACTCTCTCTGTCCTTTATCAGCCTCATTAATATTGAATACATG